ATCTTTTTTGGCTGAATTCAATTCTTAGCCTTAAGAATTACATAACTTCGTTAACATTGTTGATGTCGTGACTGAAGTTGGTACCCGACTAAAGTTGGAACTTCAGGTGCATGAATTGCACCTGACTGAAATTAGCCCCTGAAATTAGATCATCCTGCACGCACTAGTTAGCTGTTTTAGGCAGGTGCCAACTTCAGGTACCTGAAGTTCCAACTTCAAACTTCAGTCACGGCATTGACATTAATAACATTGATAACCAAATCAGATCAGTCATCACTGGGACACTTTGTTACATGAGAATAGTGCATTCATATTTTTTGGAAATAAAATTACTAGATCAGTTTAAATTAATAGGTATTTCTAGGTCTGGCCGCCTCCTACTTTAGTATTAGTGAGCCAATCTATTACTGCTCACCTCCTACTTTAGTAATAATATTTTTAGGGAACCAATCTATTACTGCAGATAACTCCACTAGCACATGTAGTTTCTATTATCTAATACTATATACGTAGTTATTTTCAGCCGTATGAGTTTCCATATTTTATTTCTTTAAAATTTCTGAAGCAGTTGACTAACCATGCGATTATTTCTTGTTAGTTCGATCTCATGACAATAAGGTTCAGATTGTGACCTTTTCTGACCGATATCGATTACCTAATAATAGTAAGTTTTTTCCCGTTGTAGATTTTGTAAGATCTCAGGCATGATACACTCATTTTAAAACTTTAACTGGGTAATTACTTATAACGTAGAATATTTCCCTTAATAATTAAGACGAATATTCTAAAATTCTTTTTGGCGTTATTTTTGATCTAAATGATTATACCCGGGTAGAGATTGCTATTATAATTTACTCGGATAACTCGGTTAATCTAATACTCCAGATAGATTTTTCCTTAATAGGTTCAATCCTAGACCAGATTAACGCAGATAAAATTTAGGGGCAATTACTAAATTGATGATTTTTCAGCTGATTGATTCTCAGATATTTTCTGTAAAATAAATGGATAAAAACAAGTTTACCGGGGTTATGATTAGTAAACGTGATTTGAAAAAGTTGGTTCTAGTTTTATCTTGCAGAACCTTGTTTCTTGATTTTGATTGAAGTAACTCGTCAAATAATGTATTTTGGCAATAAATTATTATCAGGATTGTTATGAATTAATACAAAAAAGTAAATAGAGTAAATGTAAATATGTAAATACAAATAGGTTTTTTTAATGCTATTGTTATCCTAGAAATAACCTTTTTGAGATCAATGTATCTCATTAAAAGAGTATCGTAAGCCATCCCATCATAAGTGAAGAAATTGAATAATTGAAGATATCCAGTTTGGTGATTAGAATATACAATGTTATGAAAATGCTAAATAATTTATTATTGTAAGATTAATAACAAAAAATTACAAACTTGGAATTACTAACAAGACATTATTAATTATAAATTGCTAGCTAATCAAAGTAACTATCTGAAATAATACCATGAACAAATGTATTTTCAATCTTTTCAATATTTTCAATATTTTCAAGAAGTCTATCTTCTTCTGTCAATTCTGTCGGAATGGATTTAATATATGTACGATTACACTTACAACCTTTATCAAAGATGTTACCGCTCGTTTCTGTCGTATGAATGTTACAGTCTTTTTTCTCTATGGCATCCTTTTTCTCTAGCTTAAAAATATTGGTGTCCTTTTTTTCTAGCGTGAAAATATTGATTTCCTTTTTCTCTGGCGCGAAAATATTGATGTCTTTTTTCTCTGGCATGAAAATATTGTTACCCTTTTTCTCCGACGTAAAAATATTGGTGCCCTTTTTCTCTGATATAAAGATAGTAGAGTCCTTTTTCTCTGGTGTAAAAATATTAGTGTTCTTGTTTTCTGGTGTGGAAATATTGGTAACTTTTTTCATTTTCAACGTGTTAAAAAAATTAGAAATAACTTCTGGATTAGGTGCGTCATTATGTTTGATGTTTGTAATGTTCGAAGTTGTCTGTTTTGCCAGTGAATCCGCAATTGGTACAGCATTACTGGTTAAAGAAGTTTTAGGATGAATATCATCACACCTATTCTTCTCTTCTACATCTACCAGTTTTACTCCAACATCTTTAACATCTTTTCGCTTGCTAAAAACAAATACTAATATAACAACTATCCACCCAACTTGTGTAAAAAATATATAAACTGGTATAATAAGAAGAGCTAGTATAGAAAACCGATTAATTTTGTTTTCATCAGAGACATTGTTGGCTTTAGCGATACTAAAAAATAGTAAAAAAAAAGTAACAAGATGCAAAAATAAAAAAATTAACATTGTGCAAGGATAACGAAATGTTCTCCAAGCGATACTTTGTTAATGAAATAATTTACGTTTTAAATATTTGTTAAAACGAATTTGTACAAATATAAATTACTGTAAGTCTAAAAGTTTATATAATTATCAAAATTAAAAAAAATACATATATATAAATAAAACAAATAAATAAATATTGTAATTTCAATAGATTGAACATCACACCATTATTGTGTTTTGATTTAACTGTCATTTTTAGAAATATTCATACAGATCTCTAAGCCGACATATCTAAATTACTCAATAACTTTGTTTTACAAGAACATCCATTGTTTCCATTTTTTGAAGATTTTTCAAAAATGTTTTCCTGTGTTTTGCATTTAGTTCATACGTACAGTACGTACTTTATTATGATCAGTCAGTGATTAATTGTACTTTCCAAATATAGCATCCCTTTTTGAAAAATTTCTGACTCAATTTTAAAAGATAAAGTTTAGAAACACGAAATACAGGCTGTTACTAAACTATTTCTCAATTGCCTTTGGGATATTTAAAGTGAAGTTATTAAAATCAGGATTATGACTGATTTAAAGTTAAATTTAGGGCGTTATAAGGTAGATTTAAGCCTCGTCCCATAAAAAGTTAAGAGTTTCAAAACAAACTGCATGGAATACTAAATTCCGTAAGCTGTAGGTAGAGATGGACAAGATAACAATTTAAGTAATAATTATCTTTTTAGTTTATCTTAGTACGTACCTATATACATATATTATTATGATAAATGATTCTTACTTTTTACGATTTACGAATGTATAAATTTTAACCTCAATTATCTACTCATTAGATTGCGTTTTCATGTATCACAACTTTTTGCTTATTATTACTTTATTACGTTAATAATTAATAGAAATGACTAGAAATACGTAATAAGTAAAAATATGTGACTAAACCTTGCTCATCTCTAGCTGCAGGCTTATTCTTTTCAAATTACTATGATAATCAATGATCACCTATTACGTATGCTGAAGTTAATGAAGATTACTATCACATTTCGATTTCCTAATATATTTTTCGCCACGTAACCATTAATATTTTTATGAAGTGAAGTAAATGGTCATGATAATCTTGATCTAGTAATGTATGAATTTTGATAATGCTGTTGATAAAGAACAGTATACGCATCTCCTTACAAAGCTATACTATCTATACGTACCTACATTAGTGATGGGTGACGAAATTGACGAAATTTGACGAAATAAGTATTTCGTCAATTTCGTCACTATGAAAATAATTTCGTCACTTATAATTTCGTCAATTTCGTCATTGCGAAAATAATTTCGTCACCCATCTATAACCTACATACGTGCATAACACTGGCTTCCTATGAGTAACAAGGGATTTGTAATATGTATTATGTAATTAAAGCAGATTACTATTAGTGTTCTAATCTTTAACAATATTTTGAAAGACTCGTAAGGCATTTATGTTCCGGAACATTGATCATAGGAATTTTCCGAAGTGTAGCGAGGATTCATTATGTCTAGATAAAGTGAATGCACATCTATGCAATGTTAGTGCAATGTTAAAGCCAATAAAAATTTGAAATGATAGCCAATGTGTTACACAGCAGTTGGTATTCACTACGCACTATAGGTAGGAATAGAAGGTTGATCGATTAAATCGTGAATTTAAAAATCAAATAACAAAATTTGGATGAAATAAAAGAAATTTAATCGAAATTTGTATTTAAATAGTTAAGGTAAACGTTAAATCATACTATTATAGAGTAAACAAACATTCCTTTATTAGCTTTGATTATTTTAAACTACATTACCAAGTTATAACCATTGTTATTTAAAAACTCTTACAATCATCTACAAATTCGATTCTTTAAATTAAAACCTAAATTTTTCATATGATCTTGTTCTTTTATTCTATCGAAGGAACCTATGAATCTTCATGGCTTTTGACGTTCTCAAGCGTTTCAATCAATGTGCCAAATGTGTTGGAAGTGTGTCGGGTAGGGTGAGTGGCACGGAAGTCACAGGTATGCCCAAAAGTTAAATGGTCAATAAGGCATGCATTTATTATAGTTCCGAAATATTCAGAGTAGAAAATCAAAAGTTCGAAAGAAAAATTGAAGCAAACTTCCGAAATATTCCGAAAGGTACGCATATAACCGACCAATCAAAATTATTTATTTTATCACATGGTTTAGTGGCATGCAACCTTGGCATGCCTGGCACGAGCTTTGGCAAATGGCATGCCATCTGGCACGCAAGATTTTTTTAGCCGTGCCACACACCCTAGTGTCGGGAATTAAATTTTAATTTGCGGAAAGTGATTTTAATCGATTCAACATGCCATTAGGTAAAAAAACATATCTATTTAAGTCAAAGAAAATTTTAAATGGTGAATTTATCGTTTCAGTCAACCATCTTTTTTTTTTTTGCATCGATTTATTAAATTTTATAACTATTAAAGTAAATAGAATTACTGTTCAAGCGTCGGTGTTACGAATAGTTGTGGTGTATTATTAAGTAAAGTAGTGATGTATACTACCAAAGTCACATTTGAGTATATAAAACTAGCATACTATACTAAATGTATATACCGTACTTCTGCGACATGTGTACCCGGGGTATTCCCCTAGCTCATATTATGTACCGGGCATTCGTGTAGGGGGATATACAGTATGACTACTTCTATGTATTTAATATGTTTTACTATTACATGCCCGGGTATATAAGTATGATATCCTCATACAAATATACCCGGGTATAAATCAAGATTTGGCATCTAAAAGTGCCGCAGGGTACAGCCCATGGGGGTACACATGTCGCATAAATACGGTAATATATACTTTACAGAAACTATTGTTTTTTACTAAATATATTTAATATATAACAATTATATAATTATTATATGTTTGTAATATTATTTTTTAAACATATAATTAATATATAATAACAATTTTACTAAAACACACCAGTGGTGTTCAACACCACATATCAAAATAAAAATTTAAAAAAAGATTAAAATTTAGCTAATATTAGGGTTAGGGTTATTACTGTATTTATGTGAAATAATGCACATGGGTGTTATTTTAAAAATCGCATTTTCTTAAAATAGCATAGTTGGTTTCAATGTACATCCCGAAATAACTACACCCCATATAATAATGTTAATAAATCACCTTGATATTTACCATCAGTGATTGGAATACATCCTTTACCTCTAAATAACATCCATGCGTATACTCGAAATAATGCACATTGTCTTGAAATAACACACAGATGTGTGTTATTTTGCGTAAATACAGTAGCTAGAATTGGGAATATAGGTTATTATAATCAAAATTTTGCAAGAAACTTTTTTATTAAGACACAAAAGGTGATTTTATAAGCTAAATTTTGAGTAATTAAAGATTTTTTAAAAAATTAAAGGATTGTTTTGATTTTTTTATGTTACATCTGATCTTGATATTACATTGTAGATCAATAATTTTATTGGTTAAAATCACTATGGTGTTGAACACCACTGGTGCATTTTAGTAAACTCATATAATAAATATATAATAAAAATATAATAAAAATATTTTTTTATTTCTGTTAACTCACTTGTAAGAAACTGTTTAAACAATGCTTAAAATATGTTTAAAATATATTTAAAATATTTTTAAAATATTAAAAATTTATAATAATAATATAATAAAAATATTTTTTATT